TTATTCCCTTTCACTCCCTGTGGAGCATAGGTCCATGGAAACTGCCCGCCATCTCCTTCTGTCTTGGGCCAACTTTTTGATCTCTTTCCAAGTTTAGCCTGCCTTTGACGCCTCATTGTCCACGGTTCTCCTCCAGCTGTTTCTAGGACGACCTTGATTTCTCTTTCCCTGGGGATTCCACCTTAGTGTATGCCTGGTAATATTCCTGATCGGTTTTCTTATAATGTGCCCAATCCAACCCCCATGGAGCGGTGTCCATATACTGTCGAAAACTTGTGACAAAAGCAGTCTCGTAGTAAACACGGAACATAGACTTCCAACAGAATGCAAGCGCGGGAAAGCGGGAAAGAGTCGGGAACTCAGTCACGTGACTTTAATTTAGCACAATATAGACTGAGTAGACCACTCCTTTGCTTTTATTGGTCTGATTACAGGTTTATCATAAACAATACACAAGCTTAGAAAACGGGAAACCAAAAGAAAGACATTGGGAAGTGCGCTGCTTTCCCTTTTTGGTCTTACGTTTTTCATTGTCTAGGGATGTAGCTTTGTACATTTTGTTTGTTATATTTGCAAATCAAGTGCAAATGAATTTACGATTTTTTTTTTTTCAAATCTAAATTTAAGGCTCCTTTCCCTCAAGAGCTAGGAGGAACTCTTCAGGGCTTTATAGTGAATCACAGGGAACAGAGCTCTGCTAGCAGTGGATTTAGCGAGGCCCGCTTGGACGCTAACACCCGTCAACATGTTTTAAACAACTTGAAAGTGTTCACCGTCTACGAAGTGAAAGTGGCGACTGTAAACAATAAGGGGCCTGGGCCCTATACTCCTTTGTACAGGGCCACAACTGGAGAAAAACGTAAGCTGAATGTGTGAATAGTTTTATAATATTCCTGATTGGCGGAATACTTAGGTTCAATAGTAGACCGTATTTTTTCAATAAGTGTTTTTCGGTTAGGTATCAATGTGTACTTCCATATGCAAATCCAAGGAGTTAACTGTTGCCTAGGCAGTGTTTTGTGCAGTGCATTGAACCGTCAGGACATTTTCTAGAGGTAATTGCTTTTTCCGTTGTAGAGCAAAACAAAAAAACAAAAAACAAAAAACAAACCGCACAACGTGACTAATTCGTTTCTTAAACCTCGTAAATACTAAAACATGGAATGACCTACAACCACCTACAACTACCTTCAGAATACTATTTTCATCATGGTGGTTGTAGGTGGTAGTATGTCATTCCATGATTTAGTATTTTCAAGGTTTAAGAAACCCTGCTTAGAAACTATTCTGTACCCAGAGCTCTCACGCTAACATAGGCAAGCAAGGGATATCAGATCAGCTTTTGGACCTGCCTCTTACAGCAAACAAGGCTACAACATTTGGAAATTATCAGTTCTGTGTCTATTTCACTTAATATAGGTCAAGACATGTAGCACATGCCAAAATATGTCTAACCCGTAAATTGAAATTTGACGACAGAAAGTCAAATATTTGCATTTTTAACGTACTTTGAAAAGCTCTCGCGTCGCTCACAATCATTTGCCCTAAGAAAGTTTTACAACAATCTGTAGGCTATCCTTCTAAGATTCAACCACCAGAAGCTCAATTGATTTGAAGGTTTCGCACAGGGTGAAAATAAATTATATTTACGAAGTGCTTTTAAGTAAATGTTTTCGAAATTTAATTATTTTGCACCCAAAAAGACAACGCAACATTCCTCAAATCAACCCAGTACACATTTAAAAATTGCACAAAACTGTTTGAGTGTTTTAAGAATATTTTTAAGGATATTTTGCCAAAAAAATACTACGAATTGTAGTGTTACACGAGCCAACCGCGAGCCCAAGTCAACGTCGAATTACGAGTCAACCTCGAGTCAACCGCGAGTCAAGCCAGTTGTCATAGCAGTTAAGAGTGCCTGCCTGTAAAAATCAGACAAATTCTTAATTTCGCGGCAAGGGTCGAAAATTCGATTTNCAACCTCGAGTCAACCGCGAGTCAAGCCAGTTGTCATAGCAGTTAAGAGTGCCTGCCTGTAAAAATCAGACAAATTCTTAATTTCGCGGCAAGGGTCGAAAATTCGATTTCGTTCATATTTCTATAGGCCAGGGCATGACACCATAGAACACGATTAACAAAAAAATATATATGAACATTTATTTTCCAACTTCAGCGAATACCGTCCAAATAACAGTACAAATATACAGCGATATTGTACTGTAGAAAACCTGTTTGCCATATTTGTACAGTAGAAGACCTGTTTGACGTACAGGTCGGCGTGCGCACGCAAAACTGTCACACTCTCCCTCTTTCATTAATAAATTTATTTACTACAGCAGTTGGTAATAAATCTCTTATTAGATGCTTTGGTGTGTAGTATAGGTGTATATTTTTACTCGTAGTTTGTATTTTGACTCGCCCTAGGGCGCGTCAAAATACGGCACAACTCGTAAAAATATACACCGATACTACAAACCCAAACATCTAATAAGATATATATATTATTACAGATGACGTACTGATCAACTGTAGATTTGACTCGACATTTCATTGCTGTTTATAGTTTCGTACCACCCATCTTGTTACTTGCGTTACCTGACTTAAAAAAATACTCATTATAAGATGTTAATTACTAATAATAATAGTCAAAAATTACTAATAATAATATTAATAATACTAATAATAATTAGTAATAATATTCAAAAAGTAGAATTTGGTGTTTAACAGGGGTCAACAATAGTAGTTCTGGCTTTGATAAACTCTCGGACGTCATACAAGGTACGGTCTTCGTTTTATCCAGTTTTCCTCTGAAAACATTGCAGAACTATATACATACATACATACATACGTACGTACATACATATACTTTATTTAACCTCGAATTTACAGAGTAGCTTTTTAGTACATAACATCACATAACCTCTTTAGATTCTAGTGCCATTTTTAGATCATTTTCCATCAAATTCATTCTATTTTCTGAGTTTCGCTTGATGGCCAAGATGGTGGATTTAACGACGTCATGTGATGTCAAATGACGCCACGAGCAAACATATTGTTCAAGCGCGAAATAATTTACATTTAGCTCTCATCAACCGAGCAGGAGGTCTGTATGAGAGAATCTTGACCGAGGTCGTGAGTACAGACCGAACGCAGTAAAATCTGTACACATGACTGTCATATCATGTGACTTAAGTTATGCCATGAGGAATTCTGTTGTTGTTGTTATTACGCCGTCCGCCATATTGGACGTGCCCGCTGAACTTACTGACAAGCGCATTAAGCATACTTCAAGGCATCCTGAACAGTTGTAGTCATATCAAATGGTTGTCAGAAGCGGGTCTACCCGCCGAAAGAGAGCAAATCTAGAAGCTGTCCTTTCCGAATTTACTGGCGGGTACAGTGTCACGAAACAGCAAACAGATATTCTTGAAGGCTTACACCGGCCAAACCCACCAAAATGAGAGACCTAGTCGGATTTATATTCGAACCTCCGAAAATAAATTGGACGACCGGGCCAGACCTCATGACCAGATTTAAGCGATTTCGACAGAAATGCGAGCTGTTGTTTGAAGGTCCATTGAAGCCACGAGCACCCGAGCAAAAATGTAGCTATCTTCTGTTACAAGCTGGAGACTACGGCCTTGACCTGTACAACACGTGGAGCTGAACGACAGAACAAAACAAAGACATCAGCGAGTACTGGAAACGCTTCGAAGAGCACGTCCAGCCTCAAGTATGGCCAACCATTGGACGCCTTCCTTACAGAGGCAAGACTTCTCATCCAAAACTGCGGGAACCCGGACGATATGCACGATGAAATAATGCGAGACACCCTCATGTTTGGCACAGACCACGAAGCTGTACGTAAGAAATGCGTCACGAAGGGAAACGACCTTACATTCGAGAAAGCCCGGGACATAGCGCGCACTGAAGAAGCTACCTAAACACAGCTCAGGGCCATGGACGCCCCTGTACCCCCAACCCAAGTTGATAGTCTCAGTGAAAGACAAAAAAAGTTCGTTAACAGTGATACACCCCCGAACAGACCGCCTAGGGACCCAGCCCGATGTCAATGATGCGGTAATAATCAGCATCAGCGAGGCCAGTGATGCCCAGCCAGCGGTGTAGAGTGTTTTGTTTTAACTGTCACAACCGGGGTCACTTTGGCAAAATGTGCAAAACCAAGAAATCCAATGTCCATGAAGTGCAAGGGGGCCAGCACAACCAAGGTGAACATGGCAGCGAAGACCCAGTAAATTTTCCCCGTGATGACTCAGTACACAGTCTCTTTTCAGTATCACTTAGCAAAAATTCAGCTCACAGCAGATCCATTCCACAAACATGGTACAACCATAGTCTGCAAGGTTGACATCGGCGCAGAGATCAATGTCATATCGATCACAAGCAGACTGCAAGGAAATCTTCCCCAACCCAACAGCCCGACGCCTTGGCCCAGCACAACTTCTTACAGCCTATAGGGGCCACCAGATTAAAACTCTGGGCAGTTGTCAACGCTATGTACACCACAACGGCAACATCAAGAAGGTAACCTTAACTGTGACAGATGCTCCAGGCCCGGCAATACTTGGCTGTAAGACGTGCGAAGAGTTCGACATAATCAAAGTAAACTGTAGCCTAGAATCACCTGAAGAGAAGCAGGTATAAATCCCCCTGACCAAAAAGAGCCTTATCAGTGATTTCGAAGACTTCTTTGAGGGGCTTGGCACTTTTAACATGAAACAATATCACAGAGTTAGACCCTAAGGCAGAACCAGTCGTTCACGCAACTCGAGCAGTACTAGTTCACCTACATTAGATGTTTAAGGATGAACTTGACCAAATGGTAGAACTTGGTGTCATAGTTCCTGTGAAAGAACCCACAGAATGGGTCAGCAGTATCGTGTTATCCGATGGAGTAGTTACTAAGCTGAGAGTTTGCGTAGACCCACTTGATCTCAACAAATGGGTCAAACGAGAACACTACTACATCAAAACCGTGGACGAAGTAGTTGCCCAGTTATCTGATGCAAAGTTCTTCAATATCATCGATGCGAAGAAGAGGTATCCGCATTTCCCACTAGACAAACCAAGTTCGTTACTGACGACATTCAATAACCCCTTCGGCAGGTATCGCTTTACGAGACTCCCCTTCGGTCTGATCGTGTTTCGAGATGTCTTTCAGAAGGAGCTAGACAACGCCCTAGAAGGTCTGCCGGGTGTCACAGGAACTGCAGATGACAATTTCGTCTATGGATCCACTGACAGAGAGCATAATGAAAATCAGCTGCGACTGATGGAGAGGGCCAGAGAGAAAGGAATTAAGTTTAACGCTGACATTCAGATAAGTTACAGTTAAAGTGTGATGAAGCGAGTTTCTTCGGCCACACCTGGACACCCGAAGGTGTCAAGCCAGACAACAAGAAAATGTCAGCCATACTTCCCATGAACCGCCCTAACAACGCCAAGGACCTACAGAGCTTCCGCAGCTTAGTGAATTACCTAACGAGGTACTCAAGCCAGTTGGCAACAATCACTGCACCCCTTCGTGAGCTGACAAAGAAAGAAATAGTATTTGTGTGGGGTTTAGAACATGACCATGCATTCCAAGCAGTAAAACAGGTAAGATCGTCCCTAGGCGTGCTGAGATACTTCGACCCGAAGGCAGATACAACCGTTCAGACCGACGCATCCCAGAAAGGGCTGGGAGTCGCCCTCCTACAACACAGACAGCCAATATGTTACGCTTCAAGGCTACTTACTGAGACTGAACAGAATTACAGCAATATAGAAAGAGAAACACTGGGAGTGGTGTGGGGACTAGATGAATTCCACTACTTCATCCACGGAAAGCATTGTACCCTCCACACAGACCACAAACCCCTTGAGTCCATTTTTAAGAAGAGGCTCGCTCACTGCCCACCCAGATTGCAGAGGCTTTTCATAAGAGCCCTGAAATACGACGTCATCGTGAAATACGTCAAAGGATCAGAAGTACCCATCGCAGACGCTCTTTCCAGGGTCACCCCACAGCCCTGCACAAAAGCTGATCAGCCAAACCGACTCAATGTCCACCACATTACAAGGACACTCCCAGCGTCGCCTATCAAACTACAACAAATAAGAGAAGAAACATCAAAGGATAACACCTTGGCACTACTGAGAGATACCATCTACAAGGGCTGGCCAAACAGTAAAGTGAATGTCCCCTGCCACTATGCGACTTCTGGAACTTCAAAGAAGATCTCACAATTGAAGACGGGGTCATACTAAAGTGTGATCGCATCGTAGTAGCGCCCACGCTAAGACAAGACATCCTGAAGAGCACCCACCAGGGCCTCCTAGGGGTGGAAAAATGCCTTCTGAGAACCCGTTCCTATGTGTATTGGCTAGGAATCACAAATGACATTACCCAGTTTGTCAGCCAGTGTGAAGCTTACCAGAAACACCAGAAGAGAACGCAAAAAGAACCACTGCTACAACTAGAGCTGCCATGTAGGTCGTGGGAAAGAGTGAGCTCTGACTTATTTAAATACAGAGGTCACCAGTATCTATTACTATCTGACCATTATAGCAAGTTCCCTATCATTTGGGAACTAACTGGCACCAGCTCCCTTGCCGTAATAAATCATATGAATAGCACCTTTGCCGAACATGGAATACCCTCCCAGCTCATAACAGACAATGCGCGACAGTACAATTGCCGATAGTTTCCCCAGTTTATGCAGAATCATATGGTGTAGAACATATCACAAGCTCCCCACTGTATCCTCAGTCAAACGGATTTACAGAGCGCATGGTGCAGACCGTCAAGAATACACTACGCAAGTGTGATGAGGGACGGGAGGACCCGTACCTTGGAATACTGTCGTACAGAACAACACCAGTTGACCACCAATTAAAGTCACCCGCAGAGTTACTCCACAACAGAGAATTCCGAACCACCCTACCAATTGCACAAAGAGCCCTCCTCACCGGTATTGATAGAAATCAAGTCAAAGAAAGCCTTAATGAGCGACAGAAACAACAGGCGCAGTACTACAACCGGTCTGCAGGAGCACCATTACCACCGCTACATGACGGTCAACACATCCGCCTGTATGACTCGCATACTAAGACATGGCAGCCAGGAACAGTCCAGGGACAGACTTGTGCACCTAGATCCCATACAGTTAAATCGAGCACAACTGGAACCGTGTACCGCCGCACAAGATCCCAACTCAAACCTGATACCGCATTCAGCGACCACGCGAACTCACAAGGGTTGCCAGTAAATTACCCTACGCCTAGTGTTTGACGGTTGACGGTAAACTTTTCCCATAATTATTTGGTGATTGGCGGTTAATTTTAAGGCCGTTTGATGGCTGAAGATTCGCCCCATTGGGACCCCCATTCAAGCGTTTATTTACAGCACTTGCAGTTGCAAAAGGGCTCTTTAGTAATTTCTAGCTTTTCATGTCAGTGCTGAGGCATTTGGCTCAGATAACGTCGAGTTCGGTCGCGAATACAAGTTCTTTTCGCAAGGCTGAATTCCATAGAATCGCTGCGATTGCTACAGCAAAAGATGAACGATCGTGTAATTTGAACGATCATGTAATTTGAACGCTATAAATCAGGTCTTTGGTCTTCAAATATGTGTCTAATTTATAACGTAGATACTTCCCCTTTCTTACCGCAGGACGTATTAACCGCCTGCTCCCGAGACGAGAAGTTAAAGGACTTGTACACAAATGTATTTTTGTGATACTGTATGTGAAGTTTATATGAAATAGTTCATATATGAACTGCGGTTGTAGATGAAAGTGAAGAATGATCATCGC